TATTTAAGGTTTCAAACATATTTTTTAAATAATATTAAAAAAAATATGTCATATATAAAATACGTTTAAAATGTCAAATAAATTTAAGTTGGTTAAACTAATTAAATTCACACATTTTTAAAATAAAAAACTAAATTAAACAAAAAGTTTAAAGATAAATTAAGTATAAACTTTACTAAATATAAGGAAATAAAAATATATTTAAATCTTGATATTATTACATTCAAATCTTTTGTATTTTCTTGTCTTCTCCAAAAGTGACAAACCACTTTGATGTTCGTGAAATCGACGTTTTAAAATGTTGATGACGTTGATTATTGTTGGCACGATGGAGTCAAAAACAGTTTTTGACTAGATAGTGAATATTTTGCCTCTAAACTTTCTTCCAAACATTTTAGAATATTTAGTTCTGTATGACTTTCTATTAAAAGTTTTAATTCACTAATATTGACTAATGACGTAATAGTCACATAATCAGTTCAGTAACTTGTAACGTGATCAAAACACTCATTTGTTTCTTGAAGCTGTACTTTTAATCCTTTTTCAACTTACATGATTAGCTAACAATTATAATAAAAATTTAAGATGGCAATTGGAAAAGGGAAATTACGGTAACAATACTATTTTTTTTCCTTTTTTTTTATCTCAGATGTGTACAAAATACATACTCAATTTGGATTTACAAATTTCAAGAATAATAAAAAATATTATTGAAATTATGATATGATTTGGTAACAATTATAATAAAAATTTATGATGGCAATTGCAAAAGGGAAATTACGATAACAATACTACTCTTTTTTTTATCTCAGTAGTGTACATACAAAACACATACTCAATTTGGATTTACAAATTTCAATAATATATTGAGATTATTGTTAAAATATGAAGGATTACAAAATTATAGATCGTAAAATGAATAATAAAATTTATTTTGTATAAAAATATGATATAAAACTTAATAATATACAGTTATTTTTCAATTGAATTTTATTTTAATTAGTATTCATTCCGTCAATAAGACGTGTGCTGTAAAATATACTTTTTAGTTTTTAATTAAATTTAAATTTTGTTTTAACTGAAAAATCATTCACTAAGAAAATAAATAGATGTTGCGGTTAAAAATAAATAAATTTTAGTCATATTAAATTTAAATTTTATTTGAACTGAATTCATTAATAAAAAAAATAAACAATGCTAACAATTTCACCAATTTTAGCACGTTCCAATTATCGCTGAAATTTCGATGTTAATTAGAATGGTTACCCCTACAATCACTCCACGAGTAATTGATTAAGTTAATTTTTTCAGCAATTAAAACGGTCCAAAAGACAATTTAGCACAAATCAAACAACCTAATATGTCCAAAAGAAGATGAACAATGGCATCACTAAATAAACTGAACAAGAGCAGCAAGCAACAAGAAGCCAGTAAGAAAACACATACAAGGAAAACCCGAAAAAACAAGGCTGAATTGGTGCAGGGGAAATTTTCCCTGTGAAATAATCAAAACCTAATGTTAATGCTAACGGCTGTATCCATAATAAACATAAGACCTCCCTTCATTTGAATTGAAATATTCAGATGATGGAAGAGGAGTGGATGAGATAAGTGAGTGCCAAAGCCAACATCATCAACACATACGCAATCCCTTGATCTATGGACGTTCCTGAACAATGTAAAGGCACAAAAACAAATGAATGCGAGTAGAGGAAGCACATTTTCAGATCCAGTGAGAAAATTATATATATATTTTGTTGAATTTAGGAATCAGATCTGGAAAAGGAATAGTTACCGTCGCTGGTGGGAGGAGGAGCTGGAGGCAGAGATTGAGCATTGGCAGAGAGAGGAACGTAAAGAGCGAAGATAAGAGAGAGAAGCAGAGCCAGCAATCCGAAACCGAAAGAAAATCTGAAAGTGGCCATGTTTATGGTTTGGCACACTCTCACACTCTTTCTCTCTCTCAAGTTTGTAAAGTGCGATGATAAGAGAAGAAAGAGAGGGTTTTAACAGACTAAAGCCCTTAGAAGCAAATATAAAATAAAGCGAAGAAAGGTAACCGGTGAAGCCGGTATCCAATAGAGTGGTGGGCCCACCCGCATGTTATGAGCTTGGCGAGCCCATGTGATTGCCCCTTTCAGTTTGGATTCCAACACAACGCTGACACTCTGTTACCTTTTGGCGCCATATGCTTTTTCTAACTTTCCTTTTCAAATCTATCAAGTTTTATTTTTAGAATCTTATTTATTTGTTATTATATCAAATAAACTATTTCGCTTTATTTTATAATTTAATGTTTTTTATTGACTCCTATTTTACCCTAAGTATTTTATCTTGAATTAGGGATTACTAACGTCGGACAATTTAATATATTTGTTGTTTTGTTTAGCATATAATTAATATTTCATTTAAAATGTAGAGTGCCATATTTAACTTCAAGTTTACTGCTTAATATCCCTCAAAAAAAGTTAGCTAGAGTGTGAGTAAAATATGAAGATGTTAAAGTATTCTAACACATTTATAGAGATGAAAATAGTAGGAAGTCTAAAGGAATATTGAGAATTATTTAATAGGTTCTCTAACTATTTAAATAAAAAATAAAATAGAAAAATTTTTTGGTGAATTTATTCTAAAAACACTCTAATTCATATGAACTTATGAAGGTTAAGTATAGAATTTCGTTGATCATTATTCAGCAACTACAATAATTAGTGTGATGACACGAAAATTTAAAGCATTAAACGGTTAACAAATATGAAAAAGTGTATCATGGAATTTAACCTTCTATTTATGATTTTTTTTGGAGAAAAAGGTATGATATATTAAAGATCAATGTAATGTGTATCACTTTCAGAAACAAAAGAAAAATATTTGCCTTTTTAATATGTAAGAATAACTTTCTACTTTTTCGTTTTCTTTTCTGAGAAAATTGAGTTTCGTAATAGTTAGTTTTTTTTTCTTTTGTGTAAAATTTTATAATTTCTATTTTTTAGTTGAATATGTTTAGTATCTTAGCTTATAAGCACAATAAATACTATGATTTTTTTTTTCGTACAACTAAATTTTTTATATTAACATTATATATAGTAAAACACAATTTCTTTTACGCGGCCCTTCATTCTTTTTATGATAATAAAAATAAATTTTTATAATTTTATTATAAATGTAAATATTTTTTATTTATTTTGTAGGTAGTTTAATAATTAAATAAATAGTTTAAGTAAAAAGAAACAGCTAAATTTTAAAAAAATTATTTGAAGAATAAAGTTAATAAAATAATTATTTTAGTTTAAAAGTATTATTTAAAGAACGAACATAATCATTTTATATATAAGTACGTGTGATAACTCAAATTCTTAATAAAATTTTATTTTAATTTGTTAAATATTTTTTAGATTTATAACATTTGATTTATTTTGTGATACATCGTTATTTTGTAAAAATATTAAAAACTAAAATAAAAACGATATATTAAAAGAGATAAATATATAATAAATAAAATAATAAAATAAACTATACATATATAAGACATTTGATATTGTTGAAAAAAAAAAGTTGGTTGTTAAAACATATCATATTTTAAAAAAATAAGAAAAACTAAGGTAATAATGAAATTAGAAGAATGAGAGTGTTATATCCTAAATAATGTAAACATTTTTAAGAGTGTGTTTGCTTTTGTCGATGTAATGTATTTATAGATGAATTTGCCAGTGAAGAACTTGTTTTTTTCTAAGTATTTGAATATTATAATATGTGATGATTTATGAGAGAATACGATGTTTTTATCTTTATATGGTGAGGAGATCCAAAAGTGATTTACTGCTTATGTTGAATGAGAATGCCATATTACATTTATATACATGAATTCTGGAAAGAAGAATAAAAATGAAAGGAATCAATTTTCTCCTTTGTAGAATCGATTATGTTGATTCTCCTAGAAAGAAAAAGATCTAAATCGATTTTGTTATATTTTCAAAATTCTAAAATCGTTTCTGGATAAATGAAAAAAATTTAAAAACAATTATAGGTGGTTATGATGATTTAGAATTGATATTATGGATGATTTAAAAAATTTAAAATCCATTTTGAACTATATAAAAGGAAGGAAAATCGATTTTCTTCTTTTCAAAATCGATTTCCCTCCCATGATACCGTGCTAACTCTTCAAATTTGTTTATATGTCGTGCAAACTCTTCAATTGTGTATGTGTGATATAATAGGAGGAAAATCAATTCTTCTTTTACATAATTAATTTCCCTCTACACACATTTTTATTATTAATAATATAATAATAATACTAATGATAATGATAATATTATCAATAATAATATAATAATAATATAATAATAATAATTATTATTATTATTAACTTTAAATTACAACTTCAATATATATAATTAGTTTTTATTTTTATTATATATATATATATATATATATATATATATATTAATAATTATAATTATAATATTTTTGTAATTTTAAATAACAATTTCGATTTATTTTAACAAAAGATTTACTATTCATATTTAACTTTAAATTACATGTATCTTTAAAAATAAAATAATAATTATCTAATTTTATCTATTAAAATATTTCTTTTAATTTATCATACCTATTATATTAAAAACTAACTTTCATAAATTTTCTTTTTAAATTCTTTCGTCCATTTCTTCCAATCTTTTAATCTGAATAATATCAATATTCTTTATATCCCTTCCTTAATATCCCTCTAAATCTCTTAAATCCTCTTCCCAATTCAAACAGTACACACAAAAGTATGTTTGTTTAAACCGGTTTTGAGAATATTATTACGAATAGTTTAATCCAATTTATTTTGTTTTAAAACTCACTGTTGAGATGAAATTTTATAACAGTACATATAATCGATGAAATTAAAAAAAAAAAACAATTTTGAAAGTTATAATTAAGTTATGCATAAACTAAATTTTAAGTTTTTAATATTAATTTTAAGAAAATAATTTAAAAATTTAGTTAATGACTTTGGATGTCTCCCGCCAACATCGGACATTTGTATTCTTAACGAAAATCCTAGGTATTGAACGATAACACCATAGAAACACTCTTACTAGAATCCCTCCCTAGTAACATACCCTCCTGTTTCCAACCGGCCTTACACTTTCCGTTTCTTCTCCTCATGTTTTCTGTTTCCTCTTACATTATTACTTAACTAATCAAAACTACCACCATCATCATGCCACCCTGCAAACAAATTCCTAACCGCTTGCCCCCGCAAACAAAACCCTCTCCGTCCTTCTTCTTCGTTTTGCACTTTGTCAAGAGTAAGCTTTTGCCATCCTTTTTGTGTTAGTATTATGCGATTTCGTTATATCTTTTTTTTTTCTTCCTCTTGTTTCTTTTAACACGCGGTCATAATCGTGGTTGCAAACTTTTATACGCCCGCCATCAAACAAACCTTTTGTCTTAATCATATTTGGTTCTCTGTATGATGTTGTTGTAATTTGAATCAGGATACACGAAATCACACGGTGCATGATTCATTCTTCGCATGTTTGTTTATGTTCTTCCCAATTTTAATTGTTGGATTGTTGTTTTGTAGATTTTGAGTGCCGGAATGGAACAGTTCCGGCATATCGGAGAGGTGGTTGGGAGTCTGAAAGCGCTTATGGTTCTGCGCGATGAAATCCAAATCAACCAACGGCAATGCTGTTTGATCCTGGACATATTCAGTTTGGCGATGGACACGATCGCAGAGGAGATGCGGCAGAACCTGAAGCTGGAAGAGAGGAACAGCAAATGGAAGGCTCTGGAATCTCCTCTGACAGAGTTGTGCAGGGTTTTCAAGGAGGGAGAGCATTACATAAAGCAGTGTTTGGATTCCAAACATTGGTTGGGGAAAGCCATTACCCTCTCTCACCACCGAGACTGCGTGGAATTCCACATCCACAACCTTCTCTGCTATTTCCCGGCGGTGATCGAGGCGATCGAGATTGCAGGGGAGATTACGGGTTTAGATCCGGAGGAGAAGGCAAAGAAGAAGGTGATACTGGGTCGGAAGTATGACGTGGAATGGAAGGACCCGGAGCTGTTCCAATGGAGGTTCGGGAAGCAGTACCTGGTCCCGCGCGGGATTTGCAAGAAGTTGGAGAACGCCTGGAGAGAGGACAGGTGGAGGCTCATCGAGGCCATCAAGGACAAGACTGCGAAGGAAGGTGGTTCAGCTGTGTTTAGGGAGAGCGAGCATGGCCTCGCTGATATGCTCCTCAAAAAGCTTCTCAATGGGTCGGAGATCGGCCCAATTGCGGTGCTTGTTGGGTCCAAAGGTTTCCAGGTGAGACGGAGGTTGGGCCACCGGAAGGACTTCAAGGAAATCCAATGGTTGGGGCAAAGTTTCGCGATGAGGAACTTTCAAGGGGAGAGAGAAGCACACCAGACTGAGGTCTCCTCTATTCTCTCGCTTTCACACCCCAACATATTGCAATACCTTTGCGGGTTTTACGACGAGGAGAAGAAAGAGTTCTCTTTTGTGATGGAGTTAATGCACAAGGATCTGTGGACTTACATGAAAGAGATTTGTGGTCC